AACTCCAGTGCTGTGAGGGGCAGAGAGGAGGGTTTGTAGGGTTTTCTGGCTTCCAGCTTAGTGAGCCTGTGAGAGGGCCTGTTTCAAAAGGAATATGGCAGAGATGCCCATGCCCTCCTCTGGCCTCTCCTTGTACACACGGGTGTGTGTATATACACGTACACACAGGGGCATTTCACACACACACACACACACAGAGAGAGAGAGAGAGAGAGAGAGAGAGAGAGAGAGAGAGAGAGAGAGAGAGAGAGAGAATAAAGAAAGAAAGAAACAGATACAAATCTTGAAAACAGAAAGTTAAGTTCACTTTTGTTCCCTTGGTAGGACCTAGCCTCTTCCAGAACACAGGCCTCCAAGCATGCTTGTGACAGATTATCTAGATTAGTTTAATTCAGGTGGGAAGACTGTGTGGTTTAGTGGGTCCTTTCAGCTTGATGGAAACTAGATCGTCAGGCTACACAGCAAACCAACAAGCTGTCTCCACCACTTTCCTAGTTACGGTTACTATTGCTGCGATGAAACACCAGGACCAAAGCAACTTGGGGAGGAAAGGGTTTATTTCGCTCACAGTTATATATAACAGTTCATCATCCAAAGCAGTGAGGGCAGGAACTCAAGCAGGGCAGGAACCTGGAGCCAGAAGCTGATGCAGAGGCCATGGAGAGGCGCTGCTTACTGGCTTGCTCAGCCTGCTTTCTTACAGAACCCAGGACTATCAGCCCAGGGATGGCACCACCCACTATGGGCTGGGCCCTCCCCCATCAACCACTAATTAAGAAAGTTCCCTATAGGCCTCCTTACAACCCAATCTTAGGGAGGCATTTTCTTAACTGAGGTCCCTTCCTCTCAGATGACTTTAGCTTGTGTCAAGTTGACATAAAACTATACAAGACAGCCACCATCAGCAAGAACCTTTGCCAAGGTACTATCAGAATTCTGTTTACTGCTGCTGGTTTTTTTTTTTTTTTTTGACCGTCTCATGTATCCCAGGCTAGCCTCTAATTCATCATATCTGCCATCAAATCTGCCTTATGACACTGGCAATTGAACCCAGGTCTTTGTGTGTGCTATGCAAACATTCTACCAGCTGAGCTGTGTCTCCAGCAAGTACTATGACCTTTGAGCAAATCATTTGAGGAACACTCTGTGTGTTTTTGCCCATACAGGTGTGAGTTTAAATGCACACACAGGTGGGCAGGAAGCACGTATGTGTGTATTTTATGTAACAGTCATCACAGAAGGCACAGAGTTCTCCACCTTCCAACTACACATGTGGAACGGAGCCAGTTTCATATCAGTTATATAACCCTTCTTGACTATTTTCCAAGGCCACTTAATAACAATAGTTTGCATAAATCAGTTGCATAATTTAGCAAGTGCTTCCTGTCACTGGCCACTTTGCTTTAAGTCATTTACATCCCGTAACCCGTGGAGGCTTGATAGTTATTATCATCTCATTTTGTAAATGAGATCCCAGGGCATGGAGAGGTTAATTAACTTTCTCCTTGTCACACAGCTAGAAAAATCACCAAGCTAAAATTGAATCCTGGGAGTCCCTGAGCCTGCCCTACTCACCCATGAAAAGGGAGGATGTCTTTATGCACAGGAGGAAGCCACACATTTTTTCTGTGAGACCATTTTTCACAGTGTCCTGCATCTTGTGTTATTTACAGAAGAGTGTCACACATTAGTGGTGCTCAAATTGTGACCCAGAGGGCCTGTGGGATCCTTGGGACTTAATTTAAAAAGCTATAAGATTCAGAATCTGGAGGGAGGAGGATTAGAAGTTCAAAGTTTTCCCACAGACCCGGGTGTAGTTACACACAGCCATAACCCCAGCACTCAGGAGGTTGACTACGGAGGATCAGAGGTCCAAGGCAGGGCTATACATGGAGTCTGAGGACAGTTTGATACAGAGACTCTACCCAAACAAACAAACAACACACACACACACACACACACAGAGAGTAATTTAGGGGTCAGTAAAGGTTCTTGCATCACAAGCCTAAAGGCCAGAGATCAGTTCCCAACACCCACGGAGTGGGAGGGAACTGAATCCTGAAAGCTGTCTTCTGACCTCCATATGCCCACTTCCAGTAATAATAACAATAACAACAACAATAATGATAGTAGTGGTAATAATAGACTAAGAGCTGGAGAAATTATTCAGTGGCTAAGAGCACATACTGCTCTTCCAGAGGATCAAAGTTCAGTTCCCAAAAACATATGAGTCAAGCTCATTACTTGCCTATAGCTCCAGCTCCAGGGGATCTGATGCCCCCTTCTGGACTCCTCAGGTACTGCACACACACACACACACACACACACACACACACACACACACACAAGCGCGCGCGCGCGCGCACACACACACCTTTTTAAAGGTTTAAGGAAACAAGAAATAAAGTAAAACAGGGCCTAAATCAATTTATTTTCCCCTTATACTATTATTTCCTTATGAAATAAAGAGTACAGCAGAGTTAGAGCCAGTATGAAGATAATCAAAAAGAAAATAAGTAGGACTTCACCTGAATCCAGGCCCTCACACATACCAGGCAAGGGCTCTATATCTGAACTATATCTTTAGTCCTTTCTGAATTTTTATTTTGAGACACAGTCTCACTAACTTGCCCAGACTTGTGTTGAATTCACCCAGTAGCCGAGGCTGGCCTCAAATTTACTATCTTCCTGCCTAGTCTTACAAGTAGCTGGGCTGAGGTCTCAGTATCGCCACACCAGCCACCCCTTCTTCCACTAGGACAAAGGTTGGATAGATTTTATAATGCATCTGCATATGCTTCTTTTGTTTTGGAACCCCCTAGAGAGTTTTCACTAAAGCAAGTTGCTTATGTAAGCATGCTGTGGTCTAGTTATTTATTATGACAGTCTCTCACTGTGGAGTCCAGGCTGCATGGAAACTTGCTGAATAGCCTGGGCTAGCTTCAAACCTGAAATCCTGAGGTCGGAGAGACAGTTCAGCAGTTAAGAGTACCCACTGCTCTTGCGAAAGACCAAGGCTTGCTTCCTAGCACTTACACAGTGGCTCATAAACATCTGTAACTCCAGTGCCAGGGCATCTGGCACCTTCTTCTAACTTCTGAGGGCACCAGACAAGCCATGGTGTAAATACATACAGGTGGGCAAAGCACTCATACATATAAAATAACTATATCTAAAAAGTAAAAATAGATGGACAGTGACTGAGGAAGGACACCTGAAACAGTCCTCTCTCTCTCTCTCTCTCT